GTTTTGGCTTTTTATCCAATTTGCCAGTCTGTGTCTTTTGATTGGAGCATTTAGCCCATTTACATTTAAGGTTAATATTGTTATATGTGAATTTGATCCTGCCATTTTGATGCTAGCTGGTTGTTTTGCTCACTAGTTGATACAGTTTCTTCATTGTGTCGATGCTCTTTACCATTGGGTACATTTTTGGAGTGGCTGGTACTGGTTGTTCTTTCTATGTTTAGTGCTTCTTTCAGGAGTTCTTGTAAAGCAGGGCTGATGGTGATAAATCTCTCAGTAATTGCTTGTTCGTAAAGGATTTTATTTCTCCTTTGCTTATGAAGTTTAGTTTAGCTGGATATGAAATTCTGGGTTAAAGTTCTTTTCTTTAAGGATGTTGAATATTGGCCTCCACTCTCTTCTGGCTTGTAGGGTTTCTGCCAAGAGATCTGCTGTGAGTCTGATGGGCTTCCCTTTGTGGGTAACCCAGCCTTTCTCTCTGGCTGCCCTTAGCATTTTCTCCTTCATTTCAACCCTGGTGAATCCGACAATTATGTGCTTTGGGGTTGCTCTTCTTGAGGAATATCTTTGTGGTGTTCTCTGTGTTTCCTGGAGTTGAATATTGGCCTGCCTTGCCAGATTGGGGAAGTTCTCCTGGATAACATCCTGAAGATTGGTTTTCCAGCTTTGATTCACTCTCACTGTCACTTTCAGGTACGCCTATCAAACGTACATTAGGTCTTTTCACATAATCCCATATTTCTTGGAGGCTTTGTTGATTTGTTTTTACTCTTTTTTCTCTATCTTGCCTTCTCGTTTTATTTCATTGAGTTGATCTTCAATTTCTGATATCCTTTTTTCTGCTTGGTCGATTCGGCTGTTGAAGCTTGTGCATGCTTTGCGAAGTTCTTGTGCTGTGTTTTTTAGCTCCATCAATTCATTTATATTCCTCTCTAAGCTGTTTATTCTCACTAGCATTTCATCAAACCTTTTTTCAAGGCTCTCAGTTTCTTTGCATTGAGTTAGAACATGTTCTTTTAGCTCAGAGAAGTTTCTGATTACCCACCCTCTGAAGCCTATTTCTGTCAATTCATCAGATTCATTCTCCATCCAGCCTTGTTCCGTTGCTGGTGAGGAGTTGTGATCCCTTGGAGGAGGAGAGAGGTTCTGGTTTTGGGTATTTTCATCCTTTTTGCACTGGTTTCTTCCCATCTTTGTGGATTTGTCTACCTGTGGTCTTTGTAGTTGGTGACTTTCAGATGGGGTCTCTGGGTGGACATCCTGTTTGTTGATGATGAAGTTATTTCTTTCTGTTTCTTAGTTTTCCTTCTAACTGTCAGGCCCCTCTGCTGTAGGACTGCTGAGGTCTACTCCAGGCCCTGCTTGCCTGGGGATCACCTGCAGCAGCTGCAGAACAGTAAGGGTTGCTGCCAGTTTCTTCTTCTGTTATCTTTGTCCCAGAAGGACACCCACCAGATGTCAGCCTGAGCTCTCCTTTATGAGGTGTCTCTTTGGATATATGGGGTTCAGGGAGCTGCTTGAGGAGACAGCCTGTCCCTTATAGGAGATCAGGTGCTGAACCGTGAGCTCTGTTTTTTCATTCAGAGCTGCTGGGCAAGTACATTTAAGTCTGCTGCGGCGGAACTCATAACTGCCTTTTTTCCCTTGGTGCTCTGTACTGGGAAGGTGGGGCTTTATTTATAAGTTCCTGATGGGCTACTGCCTTTTTTCAGAGATGCCGTGCCCAGCGAGGAGGTAGCCTAGTCACAGTCTGCCAGCAGAGGCATTGCTGAGCTGCCGTGGGCTCTGGCTAGCTGCCATGTGAACTTCCTTTCAGTTTTGTTTATAGAGATATAGTTAGAATTGCCTCAGTAATGGCGGACTGTCTCTGTAATGGCAGACTGCCTTGGTAATGGTGGACTGCCTCGGTAATGGCAGATGCCCTTTCCCCCACAGAGCTGGACCATCCTGGGACCAGCTGTGCTTGCTGTGAAACTCTCAGTCCAGAGCGTTTCAGATTGCTGGTCTTTGTGGGGTGGGACTGGCCAAGCCAGATCACCTGGCTCCTGTTTCAGCCCCCCTTTTTTTGGTTGAACAGGTGACTCTGTCTCCCAGGCATTCCAGTCACCAGTTGAAACGGCGCCTGGATTTTTGTGAGTTTTTGTGTGGAGACCCGCTGCGCTGTTTGAAACAGCCATGCTAGAAACTCGTGGCACTTTTCTGCCCTGGAATCTTCTGGTCTGTGGGCAGTCCAGAATTCATTTGGAAACGCGGTGATGACTCACCCTCTCCGTTTTCGCTGAGAACTGCAATCCAGAGCTGTTCCTATTTGTCCATATTGGATCCCCCTGACCAATTTAAACTTTTTTAGAAATAGGGTCTTGCTGCGTTGTCCAGGCTAGAATGCAGTGGCACAATCCTAATTCACTGCACCCTCAATCTCCTAGGTTCAAGTGATCCTTCAGCTTCAGACCCTTGAGTAGCTGGGATTATAGGTGCAAACCACCATGCCCAGCTAATTTTTCAAAATGTTTTTTAAAGGTAATATCTCACTGTGTTGCCCAGGCTGGTCTCAAACTCCTGGCCTCGAACAGTGTTGGCCTCCCAAAGTGTTGAGATTGCAGGCATGAGTCACCGTGCATAGCCTTGCAAACTTCTTTTAATATTAACCTAATCCAAGCATAATTAGGAAAGTCCTCAGTGATGTCAAACAAGAAAATAAAATATAGCTGGGTGAGGTAGCTCGCACTGGTAGTCCTAGCACTTTGAGAGGCCGAGGCAGGCTGATCACGTGAGATCAGGAGTTCAAGACCAGCCTGGCCAATATGGTGAAACCCCATCTCTACTAAAAATACAAAAATTAGCTGGAAGTGTTGGTGGGCGCCTGTAATCCCAGCTACTCAAGGGGCTGAGGTAGGAAAATCACTTGAACCTGGGAGGCGAAGATTGCAGTGATCTGGGATCATGCCAGTGCACTCCAGCCTTGGTGACAGAGTGAGAGTGTCTCAAAAAATATCAAAATAAAATAGTATACATGATTTGTCTCTAACTCGTCTTACTGAATGTGCCTGTGTATATGAGCACACATAATTGAGAATCTTTTTCAGAGCTGAAATTAAGTTTTGAATTCTTTGTATTTTATTTTACATCAGTAGAATTTTGGGACTCTCATTTTGCCAAATAGTGTTTTTTTTTTAAGGATAATTATGAATTTAATAGCAGCCTAACCTCTTTAGGGTTAAAAAAATAATGAATTTAGTTAAGGGACTTTTTATACCTTGGGGTAAGAATTTATATTTAGAGCATAGGTATATGCAATCCTTGGGGAGAGGAGTTGTGTACAAAGATGGAAAACACAGATACATGTAAATAACGAATGCAGAACAAAAAATAAGGACTACAAAGAAGGTATAGCAATGCCATATGAAGCACTGATTGTGGGACATGTAAAATAGACAATTCTTTCTTCTGTGATGGAACTTGGGGGAAGGGATTTTATGGAAGAAGAGTATTTGACTGTTTTTTTTTTTTTTGGAGATAAAGTTTCACCCTGTCACCCAAGCTGGAGTGCAGTGGCACGATCTTGGCTCACTGTGACTTCCGCCTCTCGGGTTCAAGCAATTCTGTCTCAACCTCCCGAGTAGCTGGAATTACAGGTATGCACCACCACGCCCAGCTAATTTTTTGTATTTTTGGTAGGGGGAGGTTTTACCATCTTGGCCAGGCTGGTCTGAAATTCCTGGACCTCAGGTGATCCACCCGCCTTGACCTCCCAAAGTGCTGTTATTACAGGCGTGAGCCACTGCACCCGACCAGTGTTTGACTTTTAAGGATGAAGGGTATTTGAACAAAATGAGGGTGGAATTCCATACTGAGGACATGGTAAAGGCATGAAGATAGGAAAGGCAGAATAGGTTACAGTCCCATATCACAGGAACAAGAGGCTCTGTTGGGACTTTGATTCTTGGTATTAACCAAGATGCATTCAAAACTTGGTTTTAACTATATTGAGCTTCTTTAAAATGTTTTCTTTATATTAAAAGAATATCCTTTTTTTGAACAAAGGAGAACCTTTCACAAGCTTTTACAAAAGCAGTTATGGCTGTTGATTTTGGAGATATTCTTAAAAAGAAAAATATGCTTTGAAATGTAAGCATTTTGATTAAGAAAAGTTAATTTTGAACAAATTATTTCATATTTAATCACTTCACCACCCCCTCCCTTATAAACTATGCACCTTGAAATACCCAAATACTTTATTTTTATTTATTTATTGTTTTGAGATGGAGTTTTACTCTTGTTGCTTAGGCTGGAGTACAATGGCTTGATCTTGACTCTCTGCAATCTCCACCTCCCAGGTTCAAGTGATTCTTCTGTCTCAGCCTCCCGAGTAGCTGACCACACCTGGCTAATTTTGTGTTTTTAGTAGAGATGAGGTTTCATCATGTTGATCAGGCTGGTCTCAAATTCCTGACCTCAGGTGATCTGCCTGCCTTGGCCTCCCAAAGTGTTGGGATTATAGGTGTGAGCCACTGTGCCTGGCCCCAAATAAATTCTTTTGGAAAGGCTGGAGTACCCAAACACTTTTTTTTTTTCTCCTTGAGTCCTTGCATCTGTTACTCTGTCTACTGGAAACATTGTTTTCATCTCTTACCAAGTCTTACTTACTTTCTCATTCTTCAGAGCACCTTAGACATCATCTCTACTGAAAAGGCCTCTTGAACCTGCACAGTTTGTTTGGTAGCCTTTCTGTGTGGCCCATCTTTACCAATGTTTGCATATCCTAACAGTGCTTATCCTCTGTGTGTAATTGTTTATTTTTCTGTCTCTCTCACAAGCAGACGATACCCTCTTGAGGGTAGGGACTGAGTATTGTTTATTGTTAAATCCCTAGCCCCTAGCACAGTCCTGTTTCATAGTAAACAGTAAATGTTGCTTGCATGAGTGAAATTAGCTTTAAATTTATGGAGAAAATATGTTCAAATTAACTAAATCTGTTTTACTGTTGGGGATTTTTGCAGACGGAGCTTTATATTGTGTTTGTCATAAATCTACATATTCTCCTCTACCAGATGACTATAATTGGTATGTATTAAAATTCAATTGAAAAAATAATAGTATTATCTATATCTGAAATGATTTAATTTTATTTCTCGTTTTGATGTCGTCTGCTTTCTTTTCTCATTATTCTTTCCTTAGTTTTTAAAAATTATTTTAATGATTTTATTTACCCAGTATCTGCGCTTATAAACATCTTAAATAAAAATCATTATCATTGTGTTTCATTGAATACTTAATTTGTTGTAAGACAGACATACTTTAGCTTTTTGGAAAAGTTACTTAGTTTTTATAGGGTTCATATCTATTAGCTTAAGCCATTATTTATCTTTTCTTTTGCTTGATATTGAATAATCCTAAATTACACATATTTAATTTAACCACTTTATTTAGTGCTTACTCAATTCAGTCACCATAAGAACTAGGAATAACATATAACATTGTCTTTTTTTTCTCTGCAGCAGAGTCTAATGTGCAGAAACTGCAGCATTTTATTAAGCTGTGTTGTTTTTATCACAAATTATAATAAAAATATTTTCTTCTCTCTTGACACTAGTTTTATTTTTATTTTGTTTTCGAGATGGAGTCTTGTTCTGTCACCCAGGCTGGAGTGCAGTGATTTGATCTTGACTCACTGCAACCTCTGCCTCCCATGTTCACGTGATTTTCCTGCCTCAGCCTCCTGAGTAGCTGGGACTACAGGCTCATGCCACCATGCCTGGCTCATTTTTGTATTTTTAGTACAGATGGGGTTTTGACATGTTAGCCAGGCTGGTCTCAAACTCCCGACCTCAGATAATCTGCCCACCTGGGCCTCCCAAAATGCTGGAATGATGTACTGCACTCAGCCTTTTATTTTTATTTTTGAGACAGGGTCTCACTTTGTCACCTAGGCTGGAGTGCAGTGGCACAGTCTCAGCTCATTGCAGCCTCAACTTCCAAGGTTAAAGTAATCCTTCTACCTCCGTCCCCCAAGTAACTGGGACTAAAAGCATGTGCCACCATATCCGGCTAATTCTGTATTTTTTGTAGAGACAGGGTTTTGCCATGTTGCCCAGGCTGATCTTAAACTCCTGAGCTCAAGCAATCTGCCTCCCTCGGCCTCCCAACGTGCAAAGATTACAGATGTGAGCCGTCATGGCCGTCTTTTTATTTTTATTTTGGAGACAGGGTCTCACTTTGTTGCCCAGACTGGAGTGCACTGGTACTATGTCAGCTCACTGCAGCCTCAACCTCCCAATTCAAGCCATCCTCCTGCTTCAGCAACCCCCCACCTCCCGACTGCCCCCGCAAGTACCTGGGACTACAGGTATGTGCCACCACACCTGGCTAATTTTTTGTATTTTTGTAGATACGGGATTTCACCATGTTGCCCAGGTTGGTCTCAAACTCCTGAGCTCAAGTGATCCTCTTGTCTTGGTCTCCCAAAGTGTAGGGATTACAGGCGTGAACTATGGTGCCTGGCCTTGACACTAGTTGTTTTTTTTGTTTTTTTGGTTTTTTTTTAAGACTTGGGGTTTCTCCATGTTCAGGCTGGTCTCTATCTCCCGACCTCAGGTGATCCACCCGCCTCGGCCTCCCAGGGTGCTGGAATTACAGGCGTGAGCCACGGCACCCAGCCAACACTAGTGTTAATTGTACATCTAGTGAGTACTATGATAGTGATGAAATTGGAGTAGGTAACATTTTTTAACCTGGAAAGATTGAGTCATATTAGTGTTTTGTATTATATAAAACTACCTTTTCATGAAGAAATCATTTGACAGATTAAATGTTCTTTGTAGCCATGTTATGGTATTCAGTCTTGAAACCATGGCAAAACAATCTAATGCCTATTCTCTGTTAGCTACAAATGTATTTTGTTGTGGTATGTAAGCTGACATATTCTATGGGATGGTCTTCAGTTGTCTCCTATGTTATGGATACCAGGTTTGCCAATCCAGTGATGTAGTATCTTCTCTTTAGCTCTGCCTCTGACTCCTGAGTAGCTGGGACTACACGTGTGCATTACCATACCTGGCTATTTGTATTTTTAGTAGAGATGGGGTTTCGCCAAGCTGGTCTTGAACTCCTGACCTCAAGCAATCTACCTGCTTTGGCCTTACAGAGTGCTGGGATTACAGGCCCGGGCCACTATGCCAGGCCCAGAATGATTATTCTTAAAGCTAAAATTAGATGGGGCACTAATTTTAGCTTTAAGCTGGAGTGCCCACTGCACTCCAGCCTGGGTGACATAGCGAGACTCCATCTCAAAAAATAAATAAAAAATAAAAAAGAATAATCGTTTTGCTTTGCATACAGGATAACTTGATTCTAAAACATTCTTTTTTAGCAAAGTAGAGCTTGCTCTGACTTCTGATGGCAGGACAATAGTATGCTACCACCCTTCTGTGGACATTCCATATGAACACACAAAAGTATGTATGAGAAACTTTCTTGTAGTTTTTAATTTGCTGTTAGAAATGTGTACACTTTTTTATAGTATCCAAAGAGAAGTGAGTTGTCTGATTTTGTTTGTTTATATTTACTTTTGGCTTTTTAATTTTACTATTTTGATTTTTCTCTTACTTTTCATCTGCTTTCTTTACAGTCTTTTTTCCAGAATACAAAATGAACCATTTAAATACAATTATGGCATCAGTTTTCTGGTCTAAAAAAATTTGGTAGATTTCTGGTTAAGGATTAAATACATCTAGTATAAAATTATAAAATGCATTGTCCCATACTACCTCATGTTATAATCTAGACAATTGTGGAAAAGTTGTATTTTAGAGTGCCGTTTCGTAACTTTTTTACTGTTGATGGTTCTGAAAATCTTTTTAAGGTTTGGTGAACTTCCTTTTATTTATTTATTTATTTATTTATTTATTTATAATGGGCCAAAAGGGATATATGTCCTGAATGGCATAGGTAGGTTTCTTTTCCCTTTTTTTTTTTTTCCCCCGAATTGGAGTCTCACTGCATCACCCAGGCTGAGTACAGTGGCGTGATCTCAGCTGACTGCATCCTCCGCCTTCCAGGTTCAAGCAGTTCTTCTGCCTCACACTCCCCGAGTAGCTGGGATTACAGGCGCCCACCACACTGGGCTAATTTTTGTATTTTTAGTACAGACGATGTTTCATTATATTGGCCAAGCTGGGTTCGAACCTCGTGATCCACCTACCTTAACCTCCTAAAGGGCTCAGACAGGTGTAAGCCATCGCACCCCACCCCCTATTTTTTTTTAAGCCAAGTACTAGATAGAAGAAGATTCTGTATTATTTTTAATATAATTTATTTTTAGTTTGACCCAAGTCATTTTATTTTTTTATATTGGAAATGCTTTCTCCCATTTCTTTTTTTTCTTTTTCTTTTTTTTTTTTTTTTTTGAGACGGAGTTTCGCTCTTGTTACCCAGGCTGGAGTGCAATGGCACGATCTCAGTTCACCGCAACCTCCGCCTCCTGGGCTCAGGCAATTCTCCTGCCTCAGCCTCCTGAGTAGCTGGGATTACAGGCACGCGCCACCACGCCCAGCTAGTTTTTTTGTATTTTTAGTAGAGACGGGGTTTCACCATGTTGACCAGGATGGTCTCGATCTCTCAACCTCGTGATTCACCCGCCTCGGCCTGCCAAAGTGCTGGGATTACAGGCTTGAGCCACCGCGCCCGGCAATTCTTTCTCCTATTTCTTTAAGCCTCCTACTAGGAAATATTTGATTTGCTCTATTTTTTTTTCTTTTTTTTTTGAGGCAGGGTCTCACTCTGTCACCCAGGCAAGAGTGCAGTGGCACGATTGGGCTCACTGCAACCTCCTTCACTTCCTGGGATCAAGTGATTCTCCTGCCTCAGCCTCCTGAGAAGGTAGAATTATAGGCACCTGCCACCACGGTGGGCTGAATTTTGGATTTTTAGTAGAGACAGTGTTTCACCATGTTGCCCAGGCTGGTCTTGAACTCCTGAGCTTGGGTGATCTGCCCGCCTCAGCCTCCCAAAATGCTGGGATTACAGCGGTGAACCAACACACCTGGCATTGATTTGGTTTTTGAGGAGGAAATAATAATTAGATGGTTTAAGTCATAGCAGTGCTGGTTGATTTCACAAATAATTTCTATATTCCTTTTTAAACTCACCATTTTGTCTCCCAGCTTTGTTAGGAAACAAAAGCCAGGTATCATAGGCACTAATCAAGTGCCTCGTTTGTTTCATTTATTTGGGCAATGTTAGGAAAAATAGGCCCACATCACTGAGTTTTGACCTATAAACCCTCCAGGGCACACCATGTTGCGCCTTTGTCCATTGTTACCTTGTTGTGTATATTCAGTTTATTTACTCTGTTTTAGCAGTCACACTAGGAATGCCAGGTCATTTTTCAGCAGCCAGACTCATCCTTATATGGCTCTTTATATCTTAGAATCCGATCCTCCTCAACTCTCAAAACTTTTCCATTGTACTTGTAGAACTTACCACCCTTGGCAAAATCTCTTACAAGCTTAACCTGTTCCAGAATGTTGCCTTCACCTTCTGACTCTAATAAAAACCTGGATGCTGTTTTCTCTCCCATACCCTTTTACCACTGGGCCTAAAGAGAACCATGTAGCTCCTCATTGTCAATCTAGATCCTTTCTCTTTCTTCCTAATGATTTCTAGCTTTGTAGCTTGTATCATCAAACTACATCATTTACTATCTTTCTTTATTGCTGTCACCTACCATCTACCAGGTTATTTCTCCTGCCTCACCACTGTGCACTTCCTTGACTATTGTAAGCTTGCTGTCACACTTTCTCCAACACTGTTTTACGCTCATTCTTCATTACTTTAGTATCCATGTAGATGATCTAATACTGTGGTGTCTCACTTCATGATCTTCTCTCCCTACCTCAGCCACCCACTTCCATGGGTGGATTCCCTATGATTCCTTAGAGATATTCTAATTACCAATAATTGCTACTCCTCATTCCCAATTTAAATTTTAAGAATTCTAATAGTTTACTACCAGTCCTTCTTGGGTCTCCCAGCTCCAAGAATTACTCATTCCTTCCTTGTAACCTGCATCCCTTGATCCATCCACTTTTTCACAGTCCCTCATGTATCTCCTACATTCTCACTCCCTCCTTACCCAGCACAGATTCATACCATGGTTTTTATCATCATTCCTCTGCATACATGCCCACCTCCCCTGCATCCTCTTTCTTTGTTGTGTTTCCTTTGTTTTGACAATTATCTTCTCTCCCACATCATCAATATTCCTCTCTCTAGGTGTTTTCAAGTAATCACCCCACTGCCACCATACGGACCACAACTCCCAACTGTTCTTCAACTATATTAGGCAAGCTCCTCCCTCAGAGATTTTTTTTTTTTTTTTTTTTTTTTGAGACAGAATCAATCTTCTCTCTCAGTTGCCAGGCTGGAGTGCAGTGGCACTACCTCAGCTCACTGCAACCTCCATCTTCCAGGTTTAAGTGATTCTCCTGCCTCAGCCTCCTGAGTAGCTGGGACTACAGGTGCATGCCACCACCCCCAGCTAATTTTTGTATGATGGGGTTTCATCATGTTGGCCAGGATGGTCTCGATCTCCTGACCTCATCATGATCCACCCACCTCGGCCTCCCTAAGTGCTGGGATTACAGGCATGAGCCACCACACCCAGCCCAGAGCTTTTGTATTTCCTGCTTCCTTTGCCTGGAATGTCTTTACCTCATAGTTTACTCCCTATCCTTAAGGTCTTTTTCCTTATTTGTTATCTTGTGTGACCTTCCTCGGCTACTGTATTTAAAGTTGTATGTATGTTCCTGCACTTCTTGTTCTTTGATTTACTCTTCGCAGTAGCATTTATCGTTTCTAGCATACTGGATGTTTTCTGGCTATCACCCACCACTAAAATGTAAGCTCCGTGCAGATGGGGCTTTGTGTGTTTTTTCCCCTGCTGTGTCTTCAGCACCTGGGATAACACTTTGAACTTGGTAGTTGTACAATAAATATTTTTCTATTAAATGAATAAAGTTGCTTCTACCTCTTCATGCTTAAGGGCTTTTTTTGTTTTAGGGCTAAGAGACATTCACATGAGACAGCATGGACTTTTTCGTTTGTTTGTCAAGCAATAAATTGTAGATTAAGTTGCAAAGTAAGAAACATTCTTGAGAACATGTTAGAGTAAGATAGGTTCTTTTTGCAGAAGCACAGTGGCGAGTCTCAGCTACATGGGAGAGTGAGGCAGGAGGATTGCTTGAGTCTAGAAGTTCTGGGCTGTAGGTGTTAAACTCCTGCATTCACTGAAAGGAAACAGGTAACAACCCAGAGTAAATGACTGCGTAGAAATAATGGTGCTGTATGCCGATTGGGAGTCCACACTAAATCGAGCGTCAATATGGTGACCTCCCAGGAGCGGGTACCACCAGATTGCCTAAGCAAGGGTGAACTGGCACAGTTCAGAAACAGAACAGGTCAAAACTTCTGGGCTGATCGGTAGTGGGATTTTACCTGTGAATAGGCACTGCACTCCAGCCTGTGCCACATGGTGAGACCCCATTTCTTAAAAAAAAAAGAAATGTTTTTTTGAATCCAGAATTACAAGTCTCATGTAGATCATATATAACAGTACACAAATATTCTCAAACATGACTTAAAATTCGGACTTGATTTTCTTCTTTTCTCAAGAGGTAGAGCTGCAAATCCAGTGGACCTGATGGTTCTTTGAGCCATGGAAAGATCCTCTGGTCATGTGTTGAAATATTAACTGAGATTGGCTTTAAGAAAGTTAAGATGATTGCATTTTGGATTTTCTGGTGATTCACTCATTGAATCTAAAACACGTTGCTTATTTTTCCTAGATACAAATAAAAAGATTCTTTTTTCCCACTTCTGCCAGATATATATTTTGTTAAAATATTAATATTAATATTAATATTCTGAAAATGTTTTTCTGGAACTTAAGATTTCTAGTTAGAGGAAATAAAGGTATAACCTCTTTGTTATTTGTTCTTGCATATGTTCCTTATGATGTTTGTTATTCCTCATAGGAAACATTCTGCTTTTTTAAAAATTAAATTTAATATTTATTTTTATTTATTTATTTATTTATTTGAGATGGAGTTTGCTCTTATTGCCCAGGCTGGAGTGTAGTGGCGTGATCACAGCTCACTGCAGCCTCGACCTCCTGGGCTCAAGCAATCTCCCGACTTTAGCCTCCTGGGTAGCTGAGACTGCAGGCACACACCACCATGTCCAGCTAATATTTAAACATTTTTGTAGAGACAGGGTCTCACTATGTTGCCCAGGTTGATCTTGAGCTCCTGGACTCAAGCAATCTTCTCACCTTGGCCTTCCAAAGTGCTGGGTTTACAGGCATGAGCACTGTACCTTGCCCAATCTGTTTTGTTTGTTTGTTTGGTTTTTTTTTTGAAACAGAGTCTCGCTCTGTCAACCAGGCTAGAGTGCAGGGGTGTGATCTTGTTTGTAACCTCCATCTCCTGGGTTCAGGCGATTCTCATGCCTTAACTACCAAATACCTGGGATTACGGGCACTGGTGACCATGCCTGGCTATTTTTTGTAATTGCACTGGAGATGGGGTTTTGCCATCTTGGCCAGTCTGGTCTCTAACTCCTGGCCTCAAGTGATCTGCCTGCCTTGGCCACCCAAGGTGCTGGGATTACAAGCATGAGCCGGCACACCCGGCCCCGTTCTGGTCTTTGTGACAAGGCTCTGACTTGGCTCCCTTTCTGCTTTTCACTGATACCTTTGTTACCTTTGCATTTCTGTAGTACAGTCATGCATTGCTTACCGATGGGGATATGTTCTGAGAAGTGCATCATTGGCAATTTCATTATTATGTGAACATCATAGAGTTTTACTTACGCAAACCTAGGTGGTGTAGCCTACACACCCAGACTTTATGGTATAGCCTATTGCTCCCAGGCTACAAATGTATACAACATATTACTGTAGTGAATACTTTAGGCAGCTGTAACACATTGGTAAATACTTATGTATCTCAACATTTAAACATAGAAAAGGTACAGTTAAAAATGTGGTATAAAAGATAATGTATAAATAGGGCACTTACCATAAATAAGGCACTTACCATAAATGGAGCTTACAGGACTGGAAGTTGCCCTGGGTGAGTCAGTGAGCGTGTGGTGAGTGAATGTGAAGGCCTAGGACATTACTGTACACTACTGTATACTTCATAAACAATACGCGGTTGTGCATGGGAAGGGGAAACGCACAGCTTTATTTACTGTAAAGTGGAATTTAAGGAAGGCTTGTGTGAACCATTGCGCATAAATAAACCCTTTCTACCGGGCAAAAAAAAAAAAAAAAAAGCCGGGCGCGGTGGCTCAAGCCTATAATCCCAGCACTTTGGGAGGCCGAGGCGGGTGGATCACGAGGTCAAGAGATCGAGATCCTGGTCAACATGGTGAAACCCCGTCTCTACTAAAAATACAAAAAACTAGCTGGGCGTGGTGGCGCGTGCCTGTAATCCTAGCTACTTAGGAGGCTGAGGCAGGAGAATTGCCTGAACCCAGGAGGCGGAAGTTGCGGTGAGCCGAGATCGCGCCATTGCACTCCAGCCTGGGTAACAAGAGCGAAACTCCGTCTCAAGAAAAAAAAAAAAAAAAAAAAAAAAGACCACCAGCAGCAGAGAAGCCAAGCTGTATACTTAGGCTACACTAAGTTTTTTTTTTTTTTGAGATAGAGTTTTGCTCTTGTTGCTCAGGCTGGAGTGCAATGGCACAATCTATATAAAAATACATGCTATAATATTTAACACAGTGGTAGAATGTAGTTGTCACTAATAGCGTATGAACGTAAAGAAAACATCTATGTTTCAATTGTTTCTTATCTGGTTGTAAATTCAGATTTTGATCCTATTATAATACATAGATATTTTAAAGCAAGACAGTGTTACTGTCTTGTTACATATTATTGAATATGTTACTTTCATTATGATAGCTTTATGTAGTATTGAATGTTACAATCTTTGTTACATACCTTAATATCGTTTAGTATTTAAAATATAGGTAACTTGACCCTCCAAGATAGTGATTCCTTTTGTTTTGCATTTTATTTTGTTTCGAGACAGGGTCTCAGTCTGTTGCCCAGGCTGGAGTGTACTGTGCAGTCATGCCTCACTGTAGCCTTGCACTCCTGAGCTCCAGGGATCATCCTGCCTCAGACCCCAAGTAGCTGGGACTGCAGCCATGTACCACCATGCCCAGTTAATTCGTTTTTTGTTTTTTAATTTTTTGTAGACATTAGGTCTCACTGTGTTTCCCAGGCTGGTCTCAAACTCCTGGTCTGAAGTGGTCCTCCCACCTCAGCCTCCAAAAGTGCTGCAATTACAAATGTGAGCCAACATGGCTGGCCATGACAGTGATTCTTAAAGTCTTTAGTGAGCCACTATTACTGGTGGAATATGTTGTATATCATTCATGTGTGTTGAGGAAATGAGATTTTTAGTAATTATTAACTTTGGAGAAAAGCTTTTTAAATTACAACAAAGCACTATTTGGTGGCAATTTAGTCACCTCAAATGAAAATGTTGAAAGTTTTCTGCTTCCATTGGACATAAGAAATGTCACTTTCAATGAAAAGTTTTTCATTGTTTCTCACCTTAATGATATATAAAGTAGAAGGTAAACTTTTAAGTTAAATAATAGGCATAATTTATACCTTTGAGAAACAAACTTAAGTATTAAGTACTTTACTATTGGGGAAAATAAGAAAGTTAAATAAGACTTTCATTTAAAAAAAAATTATTTTTTAGTAGAGACAAGGTCTAGCTGTGTTGCCCAGGCTGATCTTAAACTCTTGAACTGAAGTGACCTCCCACCTTGGCCTCCGAAAGTGTTGGGATTACAGGCATGAGCAACCACACCAGCCTGCCTGCCTCCTTTCTTTTCTTTCCTTCTTTCCCCCTCCCCTTCCCTTTTCTTCCTTTCTTTTTTTTGAGACAGGGTCTCATTCTGTCACCGAGTGCAGTAGTGTCATCACAGGTAGCTTCAACTTCTTGGTCTCAAGTGATCCTAACACTTCAGTGTCTTGAGTCTCGAGTAGCTGGGACTACAGGTGCATGCCATCAGGCCTAGTAATTAAATTTTTTTTTTTTTTTGGTCTTATCATTTTGCCCAGGCTGATCCTGTGCTTTCAAACTGGGCTCACGCAATTCTCCTGCCTCAGTTTCCCAAAGTGCTGGAATTACGTGCGTGAGCCACTCACTGCATCTGGCTTAAATAAGAACTTTATTGTTAGAAAAGAAACCTAAAGTTTGGTGTGAGAAGAAAAATATTTCTGACTAATGAATAATGCCATTAAATTAAACTTTGTTTTGATAACTTACTTGCCCACACTAATGTACTATAGTGAATTACTGAGTATTGTAATTGTTTTATTGTAATCTCAAACAAATGCTGGCTAACATTCCTACGTCTTCATGCTGTTTGTTACGAATTACTTTGTAGCCTATCCCTCGGCCAGATCCTGTGCATAATAATGAAGAAACACATGATCAAATCCTGAAAAACAGATTGGAAGAAAAAGTTGAACCCCTTGAGCAAGGACCTATGATAGAACAACTTAGCAAAACGTTCTTTACTACTAAGCACCGCTGGTATCCTTACGGACGGTAAGTTTTCTTTTCTTTTCTTCAATTCCTACTAGACACACTAAAGGAATACATAGATTTTCTTCCATAAACAAACTTCTGAAGTGATATTTTGCATGAGGAAATGAACCCCAAGTATAATCACCTACTATTTTTTACTTTCTTTTTTCTTTTCTGAAACAGGGTCTCACTCTGTCACCCAAGCTGGAGTGCAATGGCACAATCTCAGCTCACTGTAGCCTCAATCTCTGGGGCTCAATTGATCCTCCTCCCTTTTTCTTTTCTTTTCTTTTTTTTTTTTTTTTTTTTTGAGTACAAACATCCTGGCAACAGCACATGGAGGCCATTGCTGAGGGTATAGGTGCTTTATTGGAGAGGGGATGTGGGCAGGGGATGAGGAAGGTTCCCCCATTCCAGGAGGATGGGAAGAGTCCTGGCTGCCCCTGACAGTGGGATATGCAAGGGCCTCTGCCCAGGCCACAATCCAAATGGGAAGACACCAGTCAGTCACAAAGTCATGTGAGCACCACACAAGCCTGGCTGTAGGTCCAGGAACCTCAGCCTTCCGAGTAGCTAGGACTACATGTATAGTGCCACCACACCCGGCTAATTTTGTTCATTCTTTTTTTTTTTTTTCTTTTCTTTTTTTGTAGAAGTAAGGTTTCACTCAGTATGTTGCCCAGGCTGGTCCTAAACTCCTAGACTCAAGTGATCTTCCTGCCTTAGCTGGGATTATAAGCATGAGCCACTGCCACTGTACTTTTAAATTTACATATAATTTAACTAAAATGAAATAGTACTTCTTTTTTTCTTCTTCATTTTAATGGGGGAATTTAACCAGAGCTTTCAGTGAATTTATAAGAGTTCTTGAAAATTTTTTCATTCTATGATGTAGTCTTTAATGTGTTATTTTTGTTCATCTTCCTGTTAAGTAATTGATTGTGTCTTTAGCCCTTTATCAATTTCTTTATCAGATTTTGAGTTACTGCAAACAACATTGGGGTACAGCAAAATACTGGGCAGTGTATGTTCTCAGTTCCCTTAGAAACTATCATTGCTCTTTTGTTCGCAAATACATTTTCTATTGATTCTTACCTGCTGTTTCACTCTGGCATTAATTTGATTTTTGTTTGTTTTTGTTTTTGAGATTGAGTCTCACTCTGATACCAGGCTGGAGTGCAGTACCTCGATCTCGGCTCACTGCAACCTCTGCCTCCTGGATTCAAGTGATTCTCCTGCCTCAGCCTTTCGAGTAGCTGGGACTGCAGGCACACACCACCATGCCTGGCTAAATTTTTTGTTGTTGTTGCTTGTTTTGAGATGGAGTCTCGCACTGTTGCCTGGGCTGGAGTGCAGTGGCACGATCTTGGCTCACTGAAGCCTCCACCTCCCAGATTCCAGCGATTCTCCTGCCTCAGCCTCCTGAATAGCTGAGACTACAGGTGCCTGCCACCACGCCTGGCTAATTTTTTGTATTTTTAGTAGAGACAGGGTTTTGTCATGTTGGCCAGGCTGGTCTCAAACACCTGACCTCATGATCCACCCATCTTGGCCTCCCAGAGTCCTGGGGATTACAGGCGTGAGCCACCACACCTGGTCCTGTTTTTGTATTTTTATTAGAGACAGGGTTTCACCATGTTGGCCAGGATGGTCTCCTCACCTTGTGATCCGCCCACCTCAGCCTCCCAAAGTGCTGGTATTACAGCAGTGAGCCATCGCGCCCAGCTGATTTTTTTTTTCTTTTATATCTGTCTCCTTTCATACTAAACTATAAGATGTTTTTGTTGTTTATATTTTTCTTTTTGAGAAGGGGGTTCTCACTATGTTACCCAGGCTGATCTTGAACTCCTGGGCTCAAGCAATCCTCCTTCCTCAGCCTCCTGAGTAGCTGGGATTACAGACACACTCCTCCACATCCAGCTTGTTTAAGCTTTGTTCTTTAACTCAGTAACCAGCACTGGGCTGGCATATTTATGGCAGGGTACATTTACAAAATTAATGAATATACATTCATCGAGCTGCTGTAAGTGCTGGTTAATCCAAAACATAATTCCTGTTTACAAATTGTTTATAGTCAAGGAGGGATGATAGTGGAGTAGATAAACAGTTAATCAAGTGTGATTGAGCCTTTAAGGAGCATTAGGAATCAGCCCATAGAGAATGAGGGGAAAACTTCACAGGCAGAAGAAAAAGCATTTTTAGATGAAGTATGTGGGGGAAATTACTAGTAGGTCAGATTTTGGCACCCAGAATATTAATTTATTATAACAAAACATAGCCCATGGTTTCCTGTCTTAAGAAGCCCCTTTCTTAATAATCTCTATAATGAAAGTGATATTTTTATTTCATTTTCCCAAGAAAAAATATTGATTTTTTTTTTTTTTTCCAACATGGTCTTTCAATTCTTGCTTCTCTTTTTTATCTCCTCCTTTGAGTTTTCCTTCTTATTTATTTGTTTTTTGGGACACAATCTTGCTGGAATACAGTGGTATGATCTTGGCTCACTGCCTCCCCATCCTGGGTGCAAGTGATTCTCCTGCCTCAGCCTTCAGAGTAGCTTGGACTAAAATTAGCTAGGTATGGTGGCACATGCTACTCGGGAGCTGAGTAACATGTGCCACCATACCTGGCTAATTTTTTGTATTTTTAGTAGAGATGGGGTTTCACCATGTTGGCCAGTCTGGTCTTGATTGAACTCCTGACCTCAGGTGATCTGCCCACCTTGGCCTCCCAAAGTGCTGGGATTACAGGTGTGAGCCACCACTCCCAGCCTTCCTTCTTAATTTAATACCCACTTTGTTTATGCATGCTATCTGGATTTTTCACTATAAAATATTTTAATTGTAAGGTTAGGATATGGGCATACAAGTTAGGAAACCATCTCATAGCCCTGTGTCTTAAATCATTAAATTTCATTATATTCTGAGAATTCTTTTTATGATTCTTAGTATCTCTCATGTTTATTTTTGATTTGTATCATGTTATCCAGGTATTTGTGTTCAAACCTTCTTTGAACTTCTTCTGTAATGGCTTTCAGTAATTGTTTCTTTCCTGCATGTTCCATATTGCTACAATCTGTTGTAGGCATTCATAATCAATTCATCACTCTAAAGGTCTATAACTTCACGGAGACAAGACTGAAGACAGGGAGACTAATTAGGAGTCTTAAAACTGAGCATATTATTTTTAGACATTAGTGTTTAGTTCCCTACCTATGTTTAAACTTATTTACTTAATCTTACTGCTAATCAGCTTTTGACTGCTGGTTAATCTCCTGGTATGTTTTTCCCATTGAAATTACTAGGCACTTTTGATTGTAAATTGACTTTAATTAGGTGGAATTGATTGTCCTAATAGCTATCCTAATAAAGAGCTTGGCAGAACAACCCCAGAGACTAGTTTATGTATATAAAGAGAAATTTTATCTATAAGCATTGTCCTTTTAGATGTGTCATTTTGCTGAATTTTAAATAAGCCTATGTATAATCACTTATTCAACACATATTTATTTGATGTCTATATATTTATTTTAGATTAATGTGAATCATTTTCAAATGTTGGTTTCTGGAATCTATCTATGAATGACCATTACTTTCTTTTTTTCTATCTATCTATCCATCCATCTGTTGATTCATTCATTCATTCTTGGCTTGTTTTTCCTAGTCAGACCATTTCTTTTTAAATGTCAGTTAATATATAGAAGGATGATTTACTAAATATTTCACAGTTCTTAAGTCACAGAAGTCAAAAGAATGGGACTCATTATGAATTTAATAGCTGGGGCTGTGTAACCTCTTTTTAAAGATTTTATTGAAAGATATAAAACACACACATTTTATTTTATTTTTATTTTTATTTTTTTGAGGTGCAGTTTTGGTCTTTGCCCAGGCTGGAGTGCAATGATGCAATCTTGGGTCACTGAAACCTCTACCTCCCAGGTTCAAGTGATTCTCATGCCTCGACCTCCCAAGTAGCTGGGACTACAGGCGCACACCACCACACCTGGCTAATTTTTGTTATTTTTAGTAGAGATGGAGTTTCACTATGATGGCCAGGCTGTTCTCGAACTCTTGACCTCAAGTGATCCAAAGTGCTCAAAGTGCCTCCCAAAGTGCTGGGATTATAGGCTTGAGCCACTGTGACTGGCCAAAACACACATTTAAAGAAAAGTATTTTTAAACTATGCAGAAGTATTTAAAATAGAAAATAGAAATGTTCTCTATTTCTATGTTCTCCATAAGGAATTGGGTATAATATGAGGTAGGGCTATTCATAGAGGTAGAGGCTAACCTACCTGAGTGTTGAACATCTTTTCATGTGCTTATTGGCCATTCATATGTTGGGTTTTGGTTTTTATTTGTTTTCAGTTAAGTGTCTGTAGAAATATTTTGCCTATTTTTAAAAAGCAAATTGGTTGTCTTATTAAGGTATAAAACTTGAAGATAAAAGTGCTATATGAGCTATATACTTAGTAAATATTTTTCTATCTAAGCTTGCCTTTTCACTATGTATATATGTATGTACGTATTTGTTTTTGAGACTGAGTCTGGCTCTGTCACTCAGGCTGGAGTGCAGTGATACGATCTCGGCTCGCTGCAACCTCCTTCTCCTGGATTCAAGTGATTCTCCTGCCTCAGCCTCCTGAGTAGCTGGGATTACAGGCGTGTACCACAGTGCCCCGCTAATATTTGTATTTTTTGTAGAGACAGGGTTTCACCACGTTGGCCAGGCTGGTCACGAACTCCTGACCTCAGGTGATCCGCCCTCCTGGGCCTCCCACAGTGCCGGGATTACAGGTGTGACCCTTTCCACTTTTTAAATAGTGTCTTTTAAAGGGCAAAAGTTTTTAAATTTTGATAAAGTTTAACTTGTAAATTTTTCCTTTTGTGATTCAGGCATTTTGTGTTTTACATTTTCTTTGAGAAGTTTTTTGTTTTTTTTAGACAGGGTCTTACTTTATCACACAGGCTGGAGTGCAGTGGTACAATTACCACTCACTGCAGCCTCGACCTTCCAGGCTC